GCAGGAAGGAGAAAATACAATGTGCAGTATGTGCTCACTGAAGAGTATGTGATCTTGTAAGTGAAGAGCTGATTATAAGGCAGATGGCACAAGAACAGTGAATTAGGAGCAACTAAACTTGTGAGTACTGCACAATGCAAACCAGAGAATGTACTTCCAATGTCTGTCTTTGTGCCTGTATTACAAAAACCCAACATCGACACAAAATCTTAAGAGTTTCATTACCATGTCATTGTAAATGCACTTAGCCGCCAACCTCCACTGTAAATTTATATCTAAAAATATGTACAGCCACCTGTTGCTACTACTACAATTGTTTAAGCTGAAAATAGTCATTACTTAAACCAGCCGCCGTACTTAGTTACCTTTTCCTCATGCCACATCATACACTGGCCTGCTGTGTATTTGGGCTGTGTTTTCCTTAGTCTTGCATTTGCTGCCAATGTACCTACAGAAGCCACGTGTGCATGTGTATCTTTCTCTCCCTCTCTACATTCAACTCCAGCTGAGCTTTTGCTTTTCTAATTCTGTCTCTGCATGCCCAGCCATCTCTTATTTCTCCCAGGTAGCTAATCTGATGCATCTGCTTGACTGTCTGCATGTCAGAATGGACCGTCCTTGTACTCCATAGAATGCAATACCAAGATAACATGACAACAAGAAAAGACGCTATGCAGAAAGAAACAAATTAAAAAACCCAGGTAGTGGTGCATTCTGACAGAATAGACCAGCTGAAAGATAGTAAGGCCTTCTCATAATGCTATGTATTAAAGAGAGGACATCATCAGCAAACATATGCCTTCTCCAGACACTGTAGAGAAAATCTGGTCTCACAACAAAAAGGTCTTGAGTATATTCTGTATGAGAAATGAACACACGGACTTCCTCTGTCAAAGCTATCAACACTACCACAGATACTTACCACATCTTCCAAAATCTCCAGTCGTGAGGTGATCATTATTATAACGGGCATGGCACAGACACAGTAAGTAGATAGATAGAGGAGTTACAAGCAGAAATCTGCATGACGCTATTTCCCGTGCATAATTATTGACTAGGTCCCAGTTTTTCAAATTCAATCCCATTAGAATTTCTTTTTTGTTCTATTCACTCTCCATAATTATGGATATTTCTAGACGACAAGAAACTTTTAAAACCCAGTGGAGTACAATAGAGTAACTGGTAAAATAGTGCTAGAAGCATCTATTCTGGTTTAAGATGCAGGCAGAATACAAAACCTTTACATGTTTAAACAAAAACTTTCTAGAGAAAAAAATCATGCTGAAATGTATTTATCCTTTTTCATACTTTGTGAATTCTTCAAGCTTATTTTCAGAAAAAAATTATATCATGCCTTTGAAAGTGTAATTTTTGAAGTTATGCATAATTTTATGCATTTATTAGTAAAAAAGAGCTATTGCAAAGGTAGCTAAACCTCACTGCTTTACTGAATTCAGTTTATTTCTGCCCATCAAAATAATGCTGCAAAAATGTTTTAAAAAAAAATAAAATCCTACTCATTGCATCCTTCTAGCAGAGATAATAGTCTGTATCAGTTTTTCCACCAGTTTTCCTGCCTCTCTACAGTAGTTTCATCTAGTCTGTATCGGCCCGCTTTACCATATCAAGTTTAATGCTTCTCTTCTGTTAAGGCATGAGGCACATTCCCATATAGTAGAACAAATTTAGTTGCCTCTGATGTGACTTGTGCTTGACAAATCTATGTTGACTTTTACTTATTGTCTTGTTAGCTTCTAAGTGCTAATAAATAGTTTATTTGTTCTAGAACTTTTTGCATTTGTCATCTGATTGCAGCTGACCTTCTTAGGGAGATTGAGGCAAAACAGCTATTAAATATTCCAGCTATCTTGGTAACACCTGCTGATAGCTTAATGTTCCCTTTAATCTGTTCAGTTATTTCTTGATTTTGTAAAAAAAATTTTTGCTGGCAAAGCATAATAGAATTATTCTTTTTTTGTCCCTGATGTCTTTTGCTAATTGCATTTTTTTCTACAAGTTTCTCTCTTCCCATCCCTGTTTGTGCAATTTCATTAGTTTCTCCTTTTTTATATTTCCTTACAGATTCCATTTCACCAAAGAATAAGCGATACAGACTTGCTGCTGTTGCCACATATTTAATATTCTCTTCGTATTGAAACAATTTGCTTTTATGCTCTTCAATAGTATTAAGAAACTGACAACTCCCAATTTTTTTTCCTCCACACCAGTTTACCTATCTTTTTTTGGTGTTTATTGACCCCTGCCTTATTGAAGTTCACCATCTCTACGTTAACATTTTCTTTCTTTCCTTTTCTAGTTACTATCAACTCTATTATTTCATGATCATTCATCCCTAGGTACTTCTGACAATGGGGCTGTACTTCCCCATTGACTGTCATCAAAACTAGATCAATTTTCTCATTGTCTTCCACTAACTTCCACACGGCAAACAAATGGAGGTATTAAAAGTTTAGTAACAAAGATTTTGTTGCTTCTGTTGTATGCAGAAGTATGGGACAATTTTTGCAACAGAAAATCCCAAATACTTTAAAACATACAAACAGACTTTCATCCCTTTTGATCTGGGCCATTACATAATACTCAGATTGACTAAGTTGTTTCTCTTTGTGGGCTAAAACAAGTTATTGAGGCAGACGTTCACTGATCCAGTTCTGTTTACTTACAAATATGTCTTTTTATAATTCTGTCAAGAGTAAAAATTAAGTCACTTTTTCCTTTTTTTTTTTTTTTTTTTTTTTACCCCTCTAGGTCTTACTCCTCTGATAGCAGCATTGTTATTCTTGCTATACATATCTCTCCACTGTCACCTTTTGTCTGCTTCTCATTTTTAGACAGCACAAATCATTAAACATGGTACAGTACTGTATTTGTATTCAGAAGCGGGGAATACATCTCGAACTGTAATTCAGCTGCTGCTCCAACCTTCTGATTGTTAATCCATAATTGGTACATGCTATTACTTCAGCTCTTGAAAAACACTGGAATTTTGACCGATTCTTCACTTAACCTAACTGAGAAGTAACTATTGCAACCAACAGGTTCAATGAGGTTTGTAATCTACTTTATGTCCAAAGCACTAACACTGAAAGCCAGTCAACCTCCAGCATGAACTGTTTGGATAAGAAATTTATCAACCTCAGAACCATTTCAGAAAAGTGAATTTGTCCTTTCCATTTAGAATGCAGCATGCAGAAGCTTTGCTTGCTTTTTTTACCTTAATGTACTATTTCCTGAGGCATACAGAAGAAGAAAGAAACTTAATCTTTTAAAGTAGATATAAAAATATCATTCTAAATTTGTAGCAGTATGTTTGTCTGTTTTCTAAGTTTCTTCTCTAAAAGGGAGCTCAGCCTCATTACACACTTCTTCCCCACCACTCTTTGGGGTGTAAGATAATGTAAAAATCATGCTGTTTTCACTGCAGCAGATCACTGATGTGTAACATGAAGAGCTAAGTAATAACAACTGTTTGCACATCAAAGCATTATTATATATATTTCAATATGCCTGAACCACTGTCTGTACTTTTTCTCATTATAACTATTATTTTCTTTTTTTCATCACTGGCAAAACCCCTTCTGAAGGCTTTCTCATTCAATGTTTACATACTATGCAAACTGCAGCCCAAGACAATTCATCTCCTTTTGAAGCAATTTCTGAGGCCTTCCACAGTCACGGCACCAGCTTGTCCCTTCCTCCTCCCTCCAGCTTTCCTCATCTAAATAATTTGATATTTTACTGCTCTGTGATATGAACTAATTAATTGTGCACATTTTTTTGGTTTGATTTGCCATTTGCACCTTTTCCTCTTAACAGCTATTTTCTGTTAATTCTCTCAATAAAGGAATTATAAGCAAGTCCTCCTAACTACATCAAACCATGTGTTTCTCACTTTGGGGGGGGGGGGGAACATAATGTTGTATCAGATTAGGCATTCTTGCCATATTCTGCAAAAAGATCTTTAAGTTGCCTAACTAAACGGTGGCAGAGATATTTATAAGACACACTTAAGTCATTAGAGCTTTCTAATACAGACCACTTTTTTAGTGGGATGTATTCTGAAGAGCTACAAAACCATTATCACTCTACTCTGGACTTTCTTGGGTGAATATTATTGACATAATAATAATGTTCTTCCAAAGACAGTAAAAACATTTTGGGGCTCTTTCCTCAGTTTGGAACAAATCGAAATCTAACATGCTGAAAACTAGGACAGTTTTGACCACAGTAGCAAATGCAGTCTGTGCCAACTGTCAGGACATGCCTTAATCAAAATTCCAAAAAAACCCCACAAACATGCTTCACTTTAGATCAGACCAAGCTACACTTACTTAATTTCTGAGACACAATGCATATGCCGCAATACTCTTCTACATATTCTGTTGTTTTCAAAACACTTGCTTGTAGAGGAAAAATACAGTACATTTCATATTTGCTAACATTAGTACCAATTACCTGAATGAACTGAGCAGCACAGTTGTCCAGCCTAGACATAGGGATGAATACAAATAGCAACAGAGCAATAAAAACAAGCTGTATTGTAACACGCCTGTAAGGCAAGGTGTGGATGGGAGTTCGAGAGGCTCAACTCAGTACCCAAACACACAGCAGTCCTCTTTTCAAAACAGTTGCACAGTGTGGCCCTGCCATTATTAGTACTTCTTAAACAACAGCCCTAAGAAGGCAGCTACTAAACACTAAGACCTGCAGTAATCTGTGGAGGCAGTCAGAAACCTAAACAAAATTCAAGTATTCTGTGCCTTTAATGCTTTGCTTACATGTAAGCACCAAATTCCATATGCAATGATTAGTACTACTGATATTCTCAGGTATGCATTGCAGGGCTGTCAACTTATGATTCATCAGCTTTGTCCTTTCAGTTGTGTCACAAGAATAGCTCACATGTTTTTCTCCAATGTATTTGCTTTGTTCATATTTTTTTTCCTAGGAACCTTTCTAGTTACTTGATACAGTCCTACCTGATCTGCTTGCCTTCTCTAACATCATACAAAGAAAAAAAGACGTCTGTGTCTTCTCCAATTGTATTGTAGGTGAAGCTCTTCAGACTGAGGAAGAAGTGATGAGGCACTGGCATACGGCAAGCTTCCCCATGACGCTGACGAATTGTATCCACCTGATGAAAAACAATGAAAATTATTTTTAGTTCTTCACAAATAAAGGACACATGACTGACTTCATAATTTTAACTGCGATTCTGCTCTCCTTTCTCTATCAAGTAAAAGCTTAACCTCAAATATATTCTACCCTAGAGATACATGCTAGATTAATTTTTCTTCCTCCGTTTTTTTCCACTTTTAATTTGAATAGTTTGAGAAACCACAATAACCAAGTAAATATAAATGGTTTATGCATCTGAAATCTATTTTTATCAAGTAAACCAAGTCAATCCTATTTCTCAAATATTGTCTTGATACTGGTACTGAAAATGAACTATAATAAAGGTGGTTCTTGATGATTTCCATTTAAAGCAGATGGACTTCAAAACATTTTTAAGAACAACATCTGTTACTTTATTTCTTTTCAGCAGCTGCAATTCATTAATGGAGTTCATTTAGAACCAGGCTTTACAGGCTAATAAGCCCTGCAGGTATAACAAAAAGAAATCTTAACAACAGTTGATAACATGAGCAACCAATAAAGTCAAATTGCAGAAAGGTTTACATTTTGACTCAGTATAACAAGACCTATTTACAACCGTGAAAAACTGGGTAGGGGAAAAAAAAAAGCAGTATAGATAGAAATAAATTTATTCTTTAAATTTTATAGCCCTTTTTATCTATTGTATGCTGATCTCAATAAACAGGTTGCATGAATATCCTAAGATCACCAGGCTAGTCTCTTCTGAAAGCATAGACAGGTACATACTAACAAAGAAAATCTTAAAATTTTCAGACTTCCAACTGAGATTTGTACTAGCTTAAAAAAACCCAGAGCTTAAAATGAATTTTGTTCTGGATTTTAAATTAAATCCAAGTAAATCCTCATCCTTTAAAGACTGGTACCTGTGGAAGCACAATTCTCCTGGAAAGATTAGACCCAAATTCCATGACCAGGAATGGATTACATTACTAGAGGAAGGATATGTGAAACAGAAGCCTACTAAGCCATGTATTAGCAAGTGGAAAGAAGAGTCACGTGGGCAGAGTGAGGCTTTTCGTATCACTACAGAAGTTGAACTTTTAAGAACAACTGTTAGAGCTAAGGAAGAGAGACCTAAATGCAAGCTGAAGGAGGACCTTAGTCAGTTAATTACTTGGGGATCTTCTGAGTAAGCGTTCTATGTGTAGGGACTTACCCAACAATCTCCATCACACCTTTACATATATTACCAAACACTTAAAGATAACAAGAATTCATATGCAGATGATGTTTACCTGCGATGTGCTCTGCTGGACACTGTGTCGACTTGACAAATGCTGTGGAGATACAAAATAGTAAAATTTAAACCTTTTTGAAAGTAAGAAATATTAACATCGTATTTGTGTAGCATTAGAACAGTAATTTTAAGGTATGACTGCTCAAGATTATTACCAGCTTTTCACAGCCTTTTTTCACAGTATATCATCACTCACAAGACCACTAGCTTTCCTAAAGGCTTTTCTCAGTTAAGCCATTCCTTAGCCTAACTACTTGAATTTACAGGTTGTGTTTACCTTAGCTTTTACAGTAAATGGCTGTCACAAGCTAGATAGAATTTCCAACACTTTAATAGCATCTTCTTTTCAAAAAGTCCATCACCCTATACTGTATAATCTATGTGTTCTCTTGCTAAATGGGAAGATACCTCACCACTAATCCTATTCCAGTAGTGTGTTGTCTATGAAAAGGTGTATCTGTTAAAGAACACAGACACCTAGAAAGAAGGATGGATTTTAGACATTGTTTAAACTTTTTGCTCTGATCAGAAAGTGAAATCCTGATAAATGGTTAAAGAATCTCTTACAATTTCAGCTGGCCAACACCTGTAAAGAAGCATCAGTATAGAGAGCTACATCTCTGAAACGGAACTTGGAGGATGATCCTGTATTTAAAGCCTTTTATGCTAGAAGGAGATGTTATAATCAGAAAATGGACTGCAATACTCACTGAACCCATTTAATCTCCAAAGCGAGATTTAAATACTAATCTAAATTGAAAACATTTCAGGGAGCTTTAAAAACCATATCATTAATGATTCTGCCACACCTGTTCCACACACATTCATGTTAACATTAGCATTTTAAACTGAAATATTAACACTACCACATGATAATAAATATTCTCTTCATTTGCCCCCATCTCTATCCTTCTATTACATACCCAACATCTTATTCTAAACATATAAACTCTGTAGCAGGACCAGCACAATCTGTTGATAACCTTGTAGCTTCAAAAGAGGTGAAAGTAAAAGATAGTCCACAAAATTTATTTGGCAATACTTTTTCCAAACTATGTCACTGTCTTTCACACAGAACAAAAATAAGACTTTTTACCACAAAAGGAGAGATAATCTTCATAATGAGACTAAATCAAGATGATATTAAGTTAAATGGCATATTTTGACATCTGTTTACATTCAGTTATAAAAACGTCCTTTTTCACTTTGTCAGCAGAAGAAATAATGATCTCCAGCTCCATTGTTTGTCTAACTACTGCACTGTCTTCTGAATGTTAAAACCCTCTAAGTTTAGGTGGCTGAGTTGCCTATTTAATCTTTTTGTCACCTGCAACCACTCAGAATCAGCTGGCATAGAAAAGACCAGTTATTTAAACTGCTCAAGGTATCCTGACTTCTTTTGAATAAAATTCATCTCTAAACCCAAGGAAAAAGTGGAGATAAAATAGCCAATGTGGATTTACCAAGGGTAAATCATGCTCGATCAAGCTAACCCTCCAGGGTAAAATGACTAGATCTGTAGATGAGGGAAGACTAGTGGCTGTTGTCTACCCTGAGTTCAGCAAGGCCTTCACCACAGTCTTCCACAGCATCCTTGTATGCAAGTTGTGAAGTTACACCTGGACTGGTAGACTAACTATATTGGTAACAAAACTCCAACAAACAGTTGGATTGTCAGGCTCAAAAGGCAGTGGGTGATGGCGTGTATTCTTCAGAGGTCTATCCTGAGACCTATGCAGTCTAATAAATTCACAGATAATCCTAAACTGGGGGCAGCAGTCAATGTATTCAAGGAGGAGGCCTTCATTCAGAGGGATCTAGGCAATCCAGACAAATTGGTTAAAAGGAAATGAAGTACAGCAAGGACAAATACAACAAGTCCTGCACCTGGGACAGGCTAATCCTTCCATGCTATAGGCTGGGAATTGACTGGCAGGGTCCTGCTAAACAGCAAGCCAAACATAAGTCAGGAGAGCGCTCTGGCATCAAGGACATTTAGCAATTTACTGTTTCTATTAACAGGAATGTAGCTAGTAGATTGAGAATAACATTTATTCCTTTTTACTCAGCATTCAGTAAATGACATCTGAAATACTGCACCCCATTCAGCAAAGGACCACCAAAGCAGCTGGGAGCTGGAGCACATGTGGTATGAGAAGAGCTGGAGGGAATGCAGCTTTTCTAGTCTGGAGAAGAGAAGGTTTGGAGGTGACCTGATGGCAGCCTTCCAAAAACTATGAAGTTATCATCGAGAAGGCACAGCCAGGCTCTTTACAGAGCTGCACAGCAGGAGGACAAAATAACTGTGGTCATAAACTACAACATGGGATAGCCCAACTTTCCAACAAGGAAGAAAATAACCCCATCAAGGCAGTGAAGCATTAGAGCAGGGGCCCAATCTTTTTCCTTGAAGAATTTCAAGATCCAACTGGACAAAGCTCTGAGCAGCCTGGTCTGAATTCAGGATTGACCTTGCGTTGAGCAGGAAGTTTGACTAGACCTCCCCTGAGGCCTCTTCCAACCTCAGAAGCCTTGCAAGGTGATATAAAAATAGGACTGTTAAGAAATTATCCAGTTTTACCTTTATTTTTCCCAAAAGACAGTCACCTGTTAAGGTTGTGCAAACTTTAACAGATAAGATTATCCATTTCAGTATATCTTTCTTCATCAAAGTGCTTTCTGATGCTTAAACTGAATCCTTGTCATTGTAACCTAGGCCCACTGATCTTGTCTTATCCCTGAAAAGATTAATTAATTCAGCTGGAGATGCCATTATAATACTCAAATCTCCTACAAAACTACCTAAGCTTGTAGCGTCCCAACATGTACTTCAGAAGTAACAACTGACTGCAGAAGTTAAAACCTTGCATTTATGATTCTCACTTGTATCCTACACTTTTCAGATAATTTCTTCGATTTCTCTACATTATTTGGAATTCTGATCCTTTCCTCCTATGTACCACCACTTCCAACTTTGTGGCATTTGCATATTTAGTAAGTATACTCCCTATTTCGTCATCCAGTCATTAAGGAAACATGAAGCACTACAAAATGGAGGATAACCACAAGATATTAAGCTGATTCATCCCTCCTATTTAATCAAATTATTGACAACCTTTTTTTTTTTTGAGTATGGGTTTTCTAATTAGCTTTGTGTTACAGAACTAACGACCTTAGGAGATTTTCAATTAAAAAAAAATTTTAAATCTCTATGAAAATCTAAATATGGCATCAGCTGTTTTTCCTCTATCCACTAGACTCATTTATGTTCTGGAATTAAATTGCAACTTTTAAAAATTGCTTATTCTGAACAAGTTCACAGTCACTATTACTTACCTCCTTGTTGCAAATAATTGGATTTTTTTTCTGTTCCAGCATTTTTTGCTGGGAAAGAATGATTAATAGCTCCTCCTCCCCCATCACTTCTTTTTAAAGGTGTAAAGTATGCTTGCCCTTTGCCAGTATTCTGGAACCTTACCCATCTTTCCAATGATTACCACTAACATGTCTGATATGGCTTCTCTAGACATCCCAAATGAAATGTATATAGTTCTAAAACCCCTGGAACTGACACCTACTTTATAAACTTTTCCCCCCTGTTCAGGCGCGACTCCTTTCACTTTTCCACAGGTATTGTTACCAATTTGACAGAGTTTACCACCTTACCAAAGCTTGAGAGGGATGCAAAGGACATTAAATGCCACGTTATTTCCTTGCATCACATGCCAATTGGTTTGCCCCTAGTATAAAAACTTTTCTTTAGTTTCCCAATTACTACCAGTTTATTTATATAAAACCATTTCTTGATACAATTGACAATAGTTGCTTGTTATATCTTAATTTGTGCATTGCCTTTCTAATTTTTCTATTTACCCATTTGTACTACTCTTCTATATTTCTGTTCTATACTTGCTCTTGGTAATCTTAATTTCCCTTTCTTTCACTCTAGTGACTGAAGGCAATGAAGAATTCTTAATTTATCCAACTTGGCCTCTTAGTGAGTATCTTGAGGTTTTGTTTTTAATTTACTGAAAGAGCTATCAATTCTCCTTACCTCTTTTTTCCCTATCAAACTTGCTTCTCATGATATCTTATCTACCAATATTAGTTTTTATTGTTCTTCCTCCTTCCTTTCCTAATGATGCTTGATAAGTGAATCCTATCATTACCAAGTCAGTCTCAAACAAACTGCTTTCTATCTTCATATTCTCAACTGACTTCTTACTAGGGTTTAGAACCAAATGTACACAAATCTGTCCTCTGACAATCTGCTTCGTTAAACAAACAAACAAACAAACTAATCACAGAGATTTAATGAGCTTCCTGCACAGTTTGTGTCCAGTTGGTTTCCTTTTCTAGCAGAGTTCTGGGCAATTAAAGTCTCTATTTCCAAGTTTTATAACTTGAAAACATCTCATTTTCCATCTCAATAAAGAATAAGCAATTATGAGGTGATAGCAGCATTAATTTGAAACTTGTCTATTTATTAGGAACTCTGGTAAACTCGTGGTATTTTTTTTCAGATGGTTAAAAGAGATGGCTAAGATCTAGCAGTAATATAGCCAATTAGTTGTGCCTTTCATGCACGTCTTAAATTCATCCTGAAGACACATACACAATTCAATAAATTTATAGAAAAGCTAAACATATTTAATCACTAGGTTTGAACATTTCTGATTTTTGCAAATGCCTCCAGACATTTGTGTCTTGTAACCCCTTCCACTAAAAAGTGCTATCCAATTGTTTCTGACATTCTGCTGGACTTGTGTTGCTAAATGACAGCTTCAATCTAGTGCCAACTCCAGCACTGAGCTCTGTGGCAGAATTCTGATGACATATTTTCCCACAATTTCAAAAGTAATGTAAATTTTCAAAGAGTGTTCCATCATATTAGTTAAAAATCATAAACACTGTCATAAGGAAAAGGCAATTTGGTTTCCTTCAGGAGTAAAGCAACAATTTCTGACAAATGCTGCGCATCCTGAGGCCACTAGTATTTAGCTTCATAATGAGTAACGTGGAGAAACAGGATGTACAAGGCCTCAAAGTGCAACAGTTCTGACAAAGAGAGGAATACAGTAGTCATACAGTACTCACAAACATACTTAAGAGCTAAAAAAGATGCTAAAATTTTGAAATTTAAAATTTATCAAGTAATGCTAAGTCTAATGACTGTATAAAATGCCTGAATTATTGTCACAGATAGGAAAGTCTAATGTGTTACCTCATCCGTTGTTCTACTAATACAACACTGTTTTCTATGTTACATTTAACATTCTACAATCCTGCAAATATGAGAAAGTAATTGGGCTCTCACAACTACTCCTGCAAGATTATTTTACAATGTAAAACCTTACTGCTCATTTGAGAACCCATTAAGTATTTTGGCAGGAGTAAGGAGGATTGTCTCCCTGGGTTTTTGTTAAATAATAAGAACAAACTCAAAATCACGTTAAAAAAAAACAACCCTAAAACAAAAAAAAGACACCCGCCCCCCAATAGCCCACTCCTTCAATTTCTGCCAAATTTAAGTTAAAAAAAAAAAACAGGTTTTCAGCTGTTTTGGTTCCTGAAATTGCCTTCTGACTATGAATTAGATATGATTAGAGAGCACTGTCTTCTTGAATCTACAAACTAAAGCAAGAGTGAAGTGTGAACTGACTAACGGTCATGTCCTGATACCAGCACAGAACTCAGCAGCAAACTGTGCTGTGGACATTTTCTTCAGGACTAAGATGGGTGACATAATCCCTGACAATTAAATATTAGCTATTTGCTGTCCTACAAGTATTCAGAGTAAAAAAAAAAACACTGCAGAATGAAACACAGAGTAATAAAGCAATCATGTTAGCAACTTATCTTGCATTCTCTGAGTCATTACTGATTTCATTTTGTACTGACTTATTTCTATACTGTATTTGAAGGGAAGTTCTGCTGTAATAGCACCAAACTCCCCTTCCAACTATGGCAAATCAGGAACAAACATTAAAATTTAGTACTATAGAGTGCTGTGCTTCAATATTTCTTATGTAACAATTTTTCTTTCCACAAAATCCACTGTTATATGGTGCAAATAATCCAAAAACAGCAACAGCATATAGCTCTGCTTACAAAATGTGCCTTTGTTTTAGGGAGAAGTACATCTTGCGTATCAAAAAACCCCACCTAGACACTGACCTATCTCCCTAGTCTTAGATAGCTGAAAGTAAAAAACATTTTAAAATAGGGAATTAAAAGTTTACTAGAAGTGAGTGAAACTGTAATATTTATGTAAATCCCCACTGTTTTCTTTGGAAGATGTTAAGCTAAGAAGTTGTACTAAAGCAATTGCTGGGGGTTTTCTGGTGTTTTGTTTGGGGTTTTTATTTGGGGTTTTTTGTTTTGTTTTTATATTTTTTATTTTTTATTAAAGTAGCATCTTAGAAAAGGTCTTCATTCACTTTTTGCTGAACATTACATGCTGTTTCTCCCTTCACAGTTACATCATGATCCAATACAAAGCTAACTGTATTACATAGTCCTACTAACAAAGAATCCAAATGCAGTTAAATTGTGAAATGCATTAGTGGCTTTACAGTTCATTAACAGCACAACTCATATTTCTAAAACAACTTTAACTTTGCTATGTACTAATATGACTGTACTAGTGACTAATAATGATAGAATTTGGAACTCTGCAAGGAAGGAATCGTACTACTTTTCCTGAAAATTCTAACATCCTTACTCAAATGCACCACATACATTTTCTAAGGGACACTGCCACATAACAGAGATGGCCTTAATGTGCAAGGATCAGTTTTGCTTAAACTAACTTATTCACTGGTCTCCCTACTTCCTCCCCTTTTCTGTGAGCTCGAAATCTTTGAAACGAGGCAAAGATGTTTATTATCTATGCAACTCCTAGAAGCAGACTTTTCACTTAAGTATTATTCATCTGCATCTGCAGACTCTACTGAAAGAATCAAACAGTGGCTCTCATGGACTTTCTGGACTCACACAAACTGTTGATGAACTCCAGGCTTTAGAAGCTCTAATTAATGGAAGAAGTAGGCTGATCAACACTAGATCCTATGACAGGAGGCAATTCTATTTCTCCCAGCAAGTTAATAATTGCTGTTCAAAGTAATGATCAAGTAACCCAAAAGCATGTCAATCTGTTAGCTTTCTTCATTATACATCAATAACATTTGCCAGGACATCTGCCTGGCTCATGGTGCTTTCAGATGAATAGACCTCTGCAAGATACCACCACAGTTAATCTCTGGAGCTTCCAAGATTTTGTATTATTTCCCATCTGACAGAATTCAACAGTATACTTGCAAAAGGCAGTGGCAAACTGCAGATTAGGTAATATAATATCTGCAGAATACATGCAGGAACCAGAGGTCTAGAAAACCTGACCTATAAAGAAAAACTGAAAGAAATGGGGTTCTTTAGCCTAAGGAAAGGAAGACTGAATGGGACTTAACAAGTCTTGAAGTAGGGTAGTGCAAACAGGCAGGAGTAATCTGTTTCTCTGTGGACATGACAGGAAGATGTGAAGCTTAACCTACAGCAAGAAATCTCTATGTGTAATTAATAAAACTTCCAAACTGTAAGAACAGTGAATTGAGCAAAAAGTTTGCCTGGGGAGGCTGTGGAGTCTTAACCACTGGAGGTTTTTAGAAACAGAAAAAGTTGTCATAAATGACAGAGACACTTGATCCTGACATGAAGCAGGAGAATGGACTGGATGACCTCTTAAGATTTTCCAGTCCTATTTTTCTTTAATTCTACAAATACATGAAAAAAGATTATTGCTACTTCATTTAATGCTAGGATATTGATTTTAGCAACAAAGACCAAAGTTTAAAAGGATTCCCATTGCCTGTATATGATGGATCTGTTTTTTTAGAACTTCTTTTGCTGCTTCTGAAACAGCAGATTTTAAAAACAAGAAAACTGTAGGAAGAAACAACATTCAAACTCACCTTCTCCAGTTTTCATACCATGTTACTTTGTAAATTGAAACTGAAATGGATATAAGTATGCCACTTCTGAAAGAAAGTTGGTTCATTCTTACTAAACTCAGGGTACTAGAGACACTGACTATACTGGTGGTTAGGGTGCAAATGAAAAAGACATTCAGCTTATGAGACTATGCTAATCAAGAAAATATGTAAGACGAAAGAATTAAAACTTTTTCCCTTCTTTCTCTCCCCAAGTGAGATTTCTTACCATTTTATAAAGATCTGAAACACTGATTTGATCTGAATCCACAACCTCAAAGTCCTTCCGAGGAACTAAATCTAGGCCCAAATGTCTGCAAAAGAGAAGGAAGGAACAATGGTAAGTATAATACATTCAAGTGTTCACTATTATCTACTACATGTGCCTACCAAGGGCAAGTACACAAGAAATTCTAAACTATTTTGAGTCTTTTTTTGCAATTGTTAATCATTAAACAGATAATCCTACTAAATAAAATTAAAGGTAAATATCAAACAAAAAAACACTGTGAACTTGTTACTTCTTGTTCACTGACTTCAGTGGAGCTATAGCAATTAATGCTAGTTGAAGCTTTTGGCCATTATGTTGGTGCAGTATCCAGAACAAGTTAATTTCATACATGGAAATGTAGTAGGCAAATAAAGTTAGTACTCTGGTTTCTGCTGCAGTATTTGAGTAGGTTTCTTCACTATATATTGAAAAAGTTCTGTTAGTAACCCTGTTTACATGTGCAAATAGATACTGTGCCTTGGGAAGCTGCTTTGAAATTCCTGGTGTTCATGCAGCTAAACCCCCAACTTTATCACTATATAAACATAGTATTTTATTAATAATAAACAATAACTGCAATATCAACAAGAATTTTAATCTGTAACACAAATGTGAAAAAAAACATTTAATTTCTCTTCACTGAAATAAAATTTTGGCTCAAATCAAATATATAAACTATTTTAAAAAAAAATTAAGAATTTCTGTAGTAAGGGAGGCAATTCAGGTCACAGCTGCATGTGAATAGTAGACAGAATAAGGTTATTTTGCATCCAGACAAATAAATGAACAACTATTATCAATTAATTAATAATTGTAGACTGCAGAACAAGACAACCTAAAAGGTGTCAAAACCCAACTTTTGCTCTATAGATCTTCAGGTTCTGAGGCATGAAGAGTTCCAAGCATTACAATAAAAAGCTGTTCTAAATACACACATTAGGAGTAAAATTAAAGAAACACATGAATGAACCATTTTCCTGCTTTTATCTTATGTAACTTTGATACTTCATTTACAGAGATTTTATATTTAAATTCTTAGTCTTAAATTCGGAAGAGGTGCCCTCGCAGACTACCTTTGTACTCTTTCTGTCACTAATTATAAAAAGAAAAGCAAAAGCCAATTTAATTTTGTAATCAGAGAGGGAAACATTCTGCACAGACTTGTTCCTGACGGCTAATGAAAAATTTTATTTGAAAAAACTTCTCAGGTACCACAGAATATTTGTATGGTGCAATAAACAGAAGCCTCCAGGCAGTACGGTCTCTTCCTCAGCAATTAACTGAAAACAACAGCAAGGAAGAACCCGTGGTTTGTATGAAGCCCAGTTACCTTTGCTGACCGTTGTACTTTTATTCATTTCCCGTAAGTTTCCCAATTCCATAATTCTGTTTGAAACTTTTCTCAATCAGGTTTTCCTTCTTTAATTATATCCCTAAACTATCACATCTCAAAAATATAGCTCAGTCCTGCTCCACTTGCTGGCAAACAATTGTTAGGTAGTACTATAATTGCCATCAAAATATTGTACTGACAAACTGGAATTTCCAGCTCTTTGCCAAAATCAATTATACTTTCAATGGAAAAAAGAACAATGTTACTTCTTTAATACAGTTTTCATGCCAAACACCAGCTTCTAAACTCTAAGGCTAAACTGTGAAAGTGATGGTTATACACCTTTAGCACACTTTGTTTTGATTAAACCTATCAAACACAAGTTATCCATGGCCCAAAACCAGTATCTGAAAACTGCAGCTGCGAAGATGAAAATTACTGTATCTATTTACCAAATGAAAAAGATTAAAATAAGAATGTACTTGGTAATCCTTACCTGCAGCTGCCGTTTGAGCCTATTTATAATAGAAAGTCCAAAAATGTAATAGAAAAAAAAGGTAACAGGTAAAAACAGTAATATGCAAAGAGTCCACTTCAAAGTTTTTTTTTTTTAAATTAATGCTCATCCTATTCATCCACAGAAGTTTGCCTGAATTTGAATATTCAAACCACCTCCAAAATACCATCATACATGTGTACACACACACCCACCCCTAAAGTATATTCATAAAGGAATCTCTCCTCAACATACAGATATTAACAAATGATTTCCTAAGAACTTTATCAATACCACTTGTAAGTGCATTACAGTTTCAATGCAGTTACAAAGCACTATTAAAGTTTTACAGAAAAAAACTGCCAAAGCTAATCATAGGCTGATATTGTTCTGTTCTCATAATTTCAACTCTCTAGAGAACTGAGGTCAAACAGTGCTTGGACTCATTACTCAATACATGACAAAGGTATTATCTTCTACTTAATAATGCTCAACACAACTGCAGTAGCATCCCTGTGAAATTTATCTGATATCCTATTTTTAGTTAAATCCCTTAACACCATGGATTTCCAGCCCAGAAGATTCTCATTCTCTAATATTATGTTAATCCTGCACAATACTTGCTCCCAGAAAATAAAGGTGTTTTTTGCTTTTGTACTAACATGCTGTCATTTATTGTGCAGGTGGAAGTTCAGGTTTATGCATTTAATTTGTATCAATTATTTTTTGTCTACGAAGGACTGACAACATAATGCTTGAAATGGCAATGATAGTCAGTGGCCCACTTTCACTCTGTATTATCAAATACTGTGGGAATGCAAGAGCACCAGCTGCCAAGCAGTATTTCTCCAAAACATAGCACGCATAAAAATTAGACAATGTGCTGTTTTGCTTATTTGACAGTTCCTCTCTCCACAATACCTTTTCTTACAGGCAAATCCATATGTTGTTTTATTTTGCCTTAACACTGAACTACCTTTCAAAAATATTTCCCAAGTATACCTACAAAATATCCCCAAGCTTATCAATTACTTCTTGATAGCATATGCCTGCGATAACTCCAGCTGACATTTAGATATTCCTCCTCTTCTACACAGAAGTCTTTAGAACTTTCCTTTCTTTGGGGAAAAAATAAAAATCTACCATGCAAAATCTCTAGATACTTTTCCCTCAAGTAATATGAAGACAAGCTAATACACAAAAATACTAGCATTTTTAATACTGAAAGGGATGAACATACAACTCTACTTCAAGTTAACTGGGCTTCTAGAGAAAATCAACTTGGTTTTAACGGTAATTTCAAAGAGTGATCCTAATTTATAATACTTTCATTTATTTACAATACAAATGCTAAACCATTTAAAATTCATAAAATCGCAAGTCATAACAACTTTTCCTAGAAGAACCTTGTAGAAATAGGTCATTTGACTAAAAAAAAGTCTTTTAAGATGCACATCCAATCTGGAAGAACAGATTGGGAGAATTCATCACACCTCTAGAGTATGCAAGATCTCATCCCCTTTGCTCCAAAGATGTGCACCTTACCTTGACTCTTTTCAGCTTTAATTTTGCAGCCACCAATTTTCCTTGTATTCCTTCTCTCACTATATCAAAGCCTCATTTAGTATCATTCATAGTTCTGTTACACAGATACATTTATAAGGGTGGTGAAGGGAAAGGAAATTACCCTGGCAGTTACTCACAAACTATGTGAAGACTTTAAAAAAAGACTTTGAATGAAATACAATACAGAAATCCATGGAAAATGAAATATATGAAAAACATGTTTGTGAAAATGAGACCGTGCTAATACAACTCAATACTTTTCTTTGACAGAATTATTTTGTATACAAAGAAACTGCAGAGACTGTAATCTATAAAGAAATTAGTAAAGCACTGATGTAATGCTACACAGCAAATTATTACTTAAAATGAACATGATGAGATGAAGTAATCCTAGTAAGGAACTGATTAAAGGGAATGGCAGCAAATACTTCTGAGCATGGAAGTATCAGACTACAGAGAGAGGTTATTAAGGCTTTCCTCAAAGACTGACATCCAAGAGGCTTCCCTACAGTTTTAATCCCTATTCAATCATTACTACAAGTATATTCAGGAGAGGGAAAAAATATTATCTATTTAGACAGAAATGGCAACTATTCTTTCTGCAACCTTCTTAAAGGCATTTTATTATGGTTGTTTAAATTGTTCACTCCTATTTTGATCACCTTTGATGCAATGATGACAACTACTGTAATAAGAGTTTCTTTAATTCTCAAACTGATTTACAGATATTATGACCTCGTATGTACATTTAATACATATATCTAAATGCATTTTATGAATTTTAAGCTAATAGTTGGACCACTACCAGGAAGTCATTATTATTCCTTTTATGTCAAGAAAAATATGACAAGAGAGTAAGTCACTCAAAGTCCAAAAATAATCTTCTAAGGATGTGAGCACTGAAATTCAGGACTTTTTGAGTTTTAAGACTATGCTTACTTTATTGGATCACACTACTCCCTTTACAAAGTAACACGTTAGTAGGTACTAACATTGCAACTGCCACTGGCTTTCCGACTGCAATTTTGAGGTAAGAGAAGGACCATGACTTCAAAACAATGTTTAATTTTATTTGCATAACAGTATGGAAGTTTTATTTTTAACATTTTCTTCCCCCTGTTTTTTCTTTTTAAACATGCATTTGTAACTTTTGGCTATCTCTGGATGTTTCTGTGCAGAATTTATGGCAACTATTTGGAAGATTCTTTTAATGCAATGATTTTAATAACATTTTATGTGAAAAAGAATAACCTTTGACTAAAAAGTAAAACAAGCCTACAAACTAATCTGGTTTATGTATTTTATCTGTCCAAAATCTCAAAGTATTGGTGGGTCCCCCTCCCCTACTCGGTTTCTGAGCCTAAACAGAGTATCTCTCCCACATTTACAGGGAAGGAAGTATCTTCCCTCAGTATAAAAGGGAAAGTGATTGTGCTCAGAAACTTAGATGCTTTCTCTTAATGTCCTGACAGGTGTTATATTCTGAAAGAATCAATCCTGAAGATCATTTAAGATGACCTCTGATTTTTAAGTTAAATTACTTTGAAGAAATCTTCATCTGCCTTTTTGGTAAATCAGGTATGCACATGCTGCTGCAATTAATTTTTTCTCTGGAGCAGCAGCAGAGGATTCACATTTCAAATAGAAGCTCTGTAAGGCAGATTCCTTCATCTGTTTTTGATGCAAAAGACTCTAGAATGAAACAGTTTTTGTTAGTAAAAAAGTGTAATTCTGGTTTCCCACATTCTAAGCACTAGCAAAAGTTGAAAAACTTATTCATTTAAAAAATCTAAACAAATATTTCAAAATCAAGTTTGTATTTTACTTGCAATGTGATTTAAAATGAGATGAAGAACTGCAGATTTCACTTTATAACTTGATTTAAAATAAGACCATAAATTGCAGACTTCAGCTTTATGTTTGTTTCCTACTCTACAACTTTTTCCTTGTTATTTACAGTCCACTGGACACTTCCAATAGCATTTTAGGCTTCAATAGGTCAATATTCTAACAAATTGTATCAGAGTGAAACATTTTTAAAAAACACAAGTATTTTTAATATTCTGTATAAAACCTAGCAAGATATGCAGGAAAAAAGAACAGTATATGAGATTGCAGCTGTGCAAAAATAGGCAGGAGGATGCTTAAAACTTAAAGTCTAACACCAAAAAGATGCTTATCTGAAGGTAGTAAATTCTGCTCTTTTGAGCAATTGGGAAATACAGAAACCTATACAAGCAGAAATACCAGTCACTGTATGCATGCAAAAACCAGCTAACTGTGGGTAACTGGAAGAAGTAACAAAGCATGATAAAAAGATTGCATCCAGGACCGTATTTTTGTATTGGGGAGAAAGAATTTGTAAGCAACAGAAAATTAAATTGCTACAATAAGTGGAAATCAGTATTGCATTATAAGAATGACTAGCAACAATACAAAAGGTTAGCAGAAATAATTGTAAAAAAAATGTATTCCTACATTTTTAATAGACCAAACTACAGAGCAAAACTTCTTAATATTTAGACTAAGCATACAAAAATATGCAGAAAAAGTTCACTGTAGTAGTTCTGAAAACAGTCTAAATTACTTCTTTCACACACAAAAAAATCTGTAACTACTAATCCAAGGAATGCGTCTGTCCCTTGATTTCCACCAACTCCTACAAAACACAAGGCATGACTACCAGAACCACTGCCAGTGTATTTAAGGGAAAATGGTACCAGTTCAACAAACCAAAAAAAAAAACCCTGCAAAAACTAACTGGTGGTGACAGGAAGTGTGGATTTCACGTTTGCATCACTCCCTCCCAAATAATACAATGCAATAATGATCGAAGTCAGGATAAAAGTAGCTTTACACTAAATACGCATACATGCTACTTAATAGATGTGTAAGATTGTTTCCTGAAAGCTACTTGGTCATGAAATGACTCCTATTAGATTGTACTATCTTGAATAATTACAGATCTGCTCAAATTGCACGTATTTAAGCTTCTCAGTTAACATTAATGCATGTTATTAACAACATTTTTCATTTATTTTATTTGCAAATCTCAGGTATGACAGAATAAGCAAAGAACATCATTACATTATTTGAGAAAGGGTAGTACTACGTGAGTATGTATATGAAAATCATTAGGGTTTTTTAACAGAATAAAACAGGTGGTCATGAGTTTCATGATAAAACTCTCAGAGAGGCAAGACAGAAGAAAGTGACAGAACTCTCCCAGAAATTCTACAGAAAGAGTGATGTTGCACAAAGACCTTCCAAACTCCCAGACATTTATATTTAAATACTGCGTAGTGTACAGATTTAATTAAATACCTTTTCAATCATATGCCTTTTTATGCAGTTTCTTTATTGATACCCTCTGTTTAAGCATGTGTCTCTAATATCATGTACCTTTTTCTCTAGGGAGGTCAGTACCTGTTTTTATGTAGTCAGAAAAACAGAAAAATTTTTCCTAAACAAGCATCCTGAGCAGATTAATTTAATCATGAACATATTTATTTTTACTGATTTCACTGCTGCTTCTCCATAATTGCCATGCATTAGATTTACCTTTATAGTTTTATGTACTCCATATTTAATGATTTTACATTAAAAAAAAAAAGTTGTCTATAGCCACCTTATTGAACAACCTATTCTCTACATTGCTGCATTGCTGTCTAGTCTCCTCATCTTTTTTCTTACAACATTTTTGCAGCTTCCTGTTGCTAATTTCATCCATACACTCTTTGAGCAAAAATGTCTAGGCATAATGTTCAAAAATGGTCTCTTGGCTCCCATTTACTCTGCTGGGAATGACAATGGAAAATATCTGTAACAGCACTGCAGAACAATGACCTGATGCAATCTATTAGTCTATGTCCTTCAGAGCTTTCTTTCAACAAGAGAGAAATGAAATGTAGCATGAGGGCCAGCAAAATCTTCATGAATGTATTCAAGTACCTCTCTCAGAGGGAGTCCTGAAGTAGGTGACCAAGAAATAGTCATAACAAAGATATGTTATTGACAAACATTTGACTTTCTTCCTTAGCTGTCAACTTACAGAATTCCCCCCTCCCATATGTTAATTAGCACTAATCCTATTCCTAGTTGTAAAGGAGTTACTATATGCCTGAGGAGGGTGATATTTCCTTTGAAAAGATCATACGCGTGTCATGCAAAACTTACCTGTCTGATACAGTATTATCTCAGAATAAAACCAATTCTGGTGAAGGGCTAGTTTTTGTCTAATGGCAATTTATTACCATTTCAGCTTCTATCTGAATTGCAGTCGTCTTTGGCTCTAAAAAAAACCTCTCCACAAATATCACAGCCTCAGCTCCAATGTCACTGTTGACAGTGAGACTCTAGTTATTGCACCAACCATTAAAACACTTCAATCAACAAATGGGTTTTTAGTATCTATGAACACATCCTGCCAGGCCTAATATTCACTATATTGATACAAAGTAAATTGACCTAAACCTTTTAAAAGTGCAGATAGCCTTAGAAAAGGCCTACTAGTAAGCAAACAGCTCACTTTATAGTCATAGTAGACAAACTGTGCAATAAACTCACTGTAAAAAGTTATATTTGATTGCCAAACAATGAAATGTTCTACCTATGTACGAATACTATTGAAAGGAAACAGTTGGGTTTGGTTTGGGGTTTTTTAGTTAATAAAAGCTAATTAAAAAGAATTAGAACAAACAGTACCCAGCTGGTACCTGTACTTACTCATTGCCCCAGTCCAGCCTCACTGTGAGGTGCCTCTTCACCTCTCGCACCTGATCCTGTGTCAAGTGCCCTGACAGTAGCTGTCTGCGTAGGTCTATGAGTTCATTCATCACATGCCGCAGTTTGTAGAAAAGATCTACCTTATGTTTCTGTAAAGGCATATTTTTGGGAAGAGAGGGGAAGAGAGTGAGAAAGAAATAGAACGGGGAGGGGTGGAGAGAAGGGAGGGAGAGAAGGGGGGGGGGAGAGATTAATAAGTTTGGAAAGAGGAAGAGTGTGAGAAAGAAGAAAGAGGAAGAAAGAGAAAAAGAGAGAAAGAAAGAGATATTAATAAGTTACCAAATTTTCATTTAATTACCCTAGAGGAACATTAATCCAGTTTGTACAAGCTTTAAAATATTTATATCAAAAAGTAGCGTTAACTGTTGCTATTTAAATTGAATAACTTTTTATTTCTAAAGTTTAGGCTCACTCTGCTAAGGGGTCCATTTTCTGATGGAACCCAATGCTATAGATAAGAGGATTCATTATGTGCAGCAGGGATCATTTATTCCAATCATATAATAAATTCAAAGTTTTAGATTTAAAGTAACAGAGAGGTGAAAAAGTTAGTTTTCTACCAGCAGCTGACTTAATGGTTCTAAAGAGTTAGCAACAATGATTCACCACAAGAGAAAAGCACTTTTAATATTTTTGATATTCCAATCACTAAAATTTACCCAGGTATCTATATTAGGTGGAGGAATATAAATATTCATTATCTGCACTCCAAAAAGGACTGAAGCAATTAATGATAAAAATCCACCTGCAAAATTACTTTAAAAGAGGAAAATTACCATAGGCAGTAAAAACCCCCACACCACCACCACCAGGAAAAAAAAAAAAAAACCAAAAAACCCCACCTAACAAAAAAACCCCCCCTAAACAACTAACACCACAATCCTTTCTGAAAGAACTAGTATTCTCCAAATATGAAAAAAACCCAACCCCCAAAACACAGACAGAAATGGAAATACTTTTTTCCCCTGCAGGAAATAACTATAGCAGAAGCCCTCAAAAAGGAAAGTCTGGTGCTAACAACCAAAGACATCTATAAGCAGCCATAAGATAAGGAAGCGTGACCAAACTACTCCAATATCTGCTACATGAGAATTATGCGTCAAGGTGGCTCATGTGTGCGCAGCCACGTCTCATACTGTGTAAAATGGCCAATGTGCAATGAATGAGGATCCCAAGAAGGAAAAAAAAAAAAAAGTCTCCTGTTGCAGTTGAATGCTGGGTTTTTTAAGCAACTAAGCTCCATTCCTAACTGTATACAAAACTTGCAACATTAGAATCTCACTTGGGGAAAACACTGACTAGATGGACTGAAACTAAGACTTTGCAAGCTAGCATTGTCTTGATCACATTTCTGCTTGTAAATAAGCATTTTATAAAAGCGCTCTTAATAAAGATACCTGCATTTATCAAGACTAGATCTGATAGAGGAACATCCACAAAGAAAAACAGAATTGTTTTCTACTGCAATGTATTATCAGAAAAAATGTTTTTCACTTGTTTTACCAAAAGTAGGTAAGATGGGATGAAAAAAGAATTTCCATCTACTTGAGTTTGTTTATCTACAAGACCACTAAATTTGCATGACGTAGGAAAACAGATTTCCATGTACTCCATTTTGATCAGCAATTTGTTAATTTCTCTGAACCTGCTTACACATCTGTTTTGCTGAAGCAGGTTAAGCACAGATGGAATCATCTGCTGTTCTTATCAAACTATTTTGAGATTAAAAGATGCACCATCTTTCAACTATGCATTAACATTGGTTCTGATCCTGCCTGGAAAAATGAAATACAGACACCAGATCCAACAGAAAGACATGTATTTCCATAGCTGAAAATACTTATTCTAGGAAGATAATCATGCACAGCTGATAAGCATAAAATGACTAGATTTGTGTTTAGTTTTTTTCACTAAATGCGATCCAAAGTAAGCTGAAGACAGTAGGTATAGGAAATACCCATTTTTATATGCTATTTATATGAACAAGAAAAGGTTGTAACTTCTTCTAACACAAGATGAAGACAATGGAGTTTGGGACTACCAATAAACAAATTAGGCATATCTATCAATAAAACAGTTGGCAATGAAGTGATCATGAGAATCAGCTCCAAAATCGTATTCAGAATTCCCAAATAAACCTGCTGAAAGAGCCACTCCCTCATTCTTGGAATGATGGTTCAAGGCTATCAATGCATTCAAGTCCAGAACACTATGCTGGTTAAATTACTGTGTGTTCTGGAGTTATTTTTACACAGTTGTTTTTCACGTAAGTATCATAAGTACTTACTTCAAATACAAATAAATAAGAAATGAGATTGTAGAATACAATTTTGTAAAAGCTAGTCACATTAGGTCCTACACAATGATCTGAAAAAAAGAAAAACCCTCAAACTCAAACCTCTCGCACCTCTCGTGTTCCATGAGCGTGACAATATGCCCTTTTCAGCTTTAGTTCTTAGACTTACTCTTCAAGAAATATTTCATCTGCTTCAAACAGAATGAGCAAGTATTGATAGACAAAGAGCTAAACATATGGTATCCTTTTCAGAAAACACAAAGTCCCCTATGAGGAAGGAAAAGGAGGTATCAGAAAGTGGAAAGCTAGAGGAGCTGTAGCTGTGATCTCAGTCAAACAGTTATGAAGTGAACCATAGATGCAAGACCCATGAAAATGACTGAAAATACTTGCGAGAGAGAAAGGAGAGCTAGAACAGAGTTGAAGGTAGCTTACTTCCAGGCTTGTGAGCAGTCAAGAGTTTGAAGCAGTCAAAAAAATGTTTATAATGCCCCTCCTCACACTACAAGAGTCTAGTGACTACTAAGCTCAATTTGGGATAGAGGGAGGCAGGGATTTTAATGCCTTTCCTCTGCCTTCTCTCTTTCAAGAAAAAAAAAAGACCTTCAAAATTCAACACTAAGCTAAGCTGATCAGGATTCCTACCCCCATAAAGAAAACTGCTCACCCTTAAACCTTACTCCTAAAGAAAACTGCTTAAAGTGAAACAGGTGATCCTGAACACCATGTTTCCAGAAAAAACAATTTTAAGCATTACAGCCATTCAAGCAATTTTAGTCAGAATAGCATCATAAACAAACCTGAAACTTTATCATCTTGTTAGTAGCTAAATAAAAAAATGCAAGTCAATCTGACATCTAAGTGTTCATTCTGTTTTACTGTAAACTTTCACACAGCCTATAACCTCTCATTTTCCATCTAGCTTTGTCACAAACTACCAAGCAATGAGCAGTTTATCAGTCCATCCGGAATGATCTGCTGTGCACATTTATGAACATATTTGGCAAATGTTTTGCATCCAGAATATAAAAGTAAGTATTTATGCAAAAAATTTTATGGCAATAATTAAGGTGTGTCAGGGAAAAAGAATCTGGATAGCCTTAATTAATTGAGGACTCTCTTCTTACAAGCAGCACAAGTCTGTCCTCTAGCACATCTTGCTGCCTTATTTTACTATCCCCAGATACAAAACCAGTTGCTGTACGTCTTTGAACTTTTACTACTAACAAGTCACGCTTATCAATGCTTGGATAATCTTCATACATACAGCTACACATCAAAAGGTGGAATTCTGGCAATATTTTTTTTTCTTTTAATGACTCCACATTAACTGTATAGAGATCAAAAGTCAAAAGATGGTTTTGGTGTTGTGGTGGGTTGACCTTTACCGGCTGCCAGACCCCCTCCCAGCCACTCTCTCACTCCACCTCCTCAACGGGGGCAGGAAGAGGAGAATAAAATGAAAATACTTATGGTTGCGATAAAGACAGGGAGATCACTTACCAATTACCATCCCAGCAAAACAGACTTCTCTTGGGGGAAACTAATTTAATTTGTTGCCAATTAAAACAGAGTTGGGTGGTGAGAAAAATACAAAACCCCTTGTCCTCACCCACCCTCCTCCCAGGCCCAACTTCACTCCTTCATTCCCAACTCCTCCACCCTTCCCCTGCCCCCACCCAGCAGGGGAATGGTGGGGGTGGCCGATCCCAGCAGCTCCTCTCCCCTGCTCCAGCATGGGTCCTGCCCACGGGCTGCAGTCCTTCAGGATAAACCTGCTCTGGCACGGTCCTCCCCACGGACTGCAGTGTGGGTACCTGCTCCGTCACCTGTTCACCTCCTGCTCTGGTTCGGGTGTTCGTGGGGCTCTTTCTCCCTCTTTTTTTCCTCATCCTCACTGTCTGTGTGACTGTTCGCCCCTTCTCAAACATGCTTTCCCTGAGGCATCACCAGCTTTGCTAACAGGCTCAGCTGTGCCCTGTAGCAGGTCTCTTGCAGAACCAGCTGGAACTGGCCTCTTCCCACAGAGACATCCCCACTGCCAACACCTGGGCACGGCACCTGACACAGGTGTTTGGGGTTTTTTTAAACAGGTAATCACAGAAAATAAACGTGCACTCACACGAACACAAAGCTGTTTCGTGCTTCAGTGCAGTAACACAAACTCCCTGTTTCATGCCTATGGTAGCTTGGAAATACTATGGCTGCTTCTGTCGTTCTTCTCAAAATAAATACCACGTAATATGAAAATACATTAAAAACTGGTATACTATGGAAAATGACCTATTTATAGTCATTTTGTTACCATGACTTCATTTAACACTACTGTAAAGAAGTCAGGATTTTGCCTCTCTCAAGAGCCATCCCTTAAGACGTTTTCTACAGAATTGCCTTGGGCTATAATGCGGTAGATGGGCACAAAAAATTATTTTCCTTATAAAAGCAAGTGAGTAGCTTTTCCCAGGTTCCTTGTACCGGATTTCGGTACCTAAATTAGATATTAAAGCTTGCAAGCATCATCAGCACGTGAAAGGAAATAGTAAAGCTGGAAACAACATAAAACTCATGCCTTTCTTTTCAGTTTTGTCTAGATTTTTTTAATTAAGCAAATTATTTTATAGTAAAGCTCTGTTAGAATTTATAGATTTGTGCAATATTTATAGTTTAATCTTACCCAAAATCTCTAATATTATTACTATGCAAACCTCAGACACTACCTATCAAATTAGGTAGTATTCATCAAGTACCTGTTGATGAATAAAGGTCAGACTTTACAGGTCAATACAAGGATGT